TAGTACTTAAAATTTAATATTTTTGTTAAAATGTACAATAGTAGTATTAACCATGTACAATTTAAGTTAGTTGTTTATCTTATTCATAATAACTATTCATGTTTAACATTCTTAAATACACTATACATGTTTAGTTGAAACCTTGTAATCGATTAAGATTTTGTACTTACTCCAAACTTTTTAAATTATCTCCTTATACCACTGTATCCTTCTAATTACTTTGTTTATCATAACTAACTTATCATCAAAATTATTAAAGTAGACAATATGTAAAAGTGCTTAATCGTATACGATGTGTTATGTAATATAATTATGAAAAACATAGTTTGTACCACTTTAAAATAAGACAATAAGGATTGAACACACCATCCGTGAATAAGTGGCCTAAATTAAAAATAAAGTTACATGGAATTATAGTGCCTGAACCATTAGATAAAGGTACAATTTAGAGAACCTCATTTCATTTTAGATGATAACACAAACAGTGGATAATTTAGAAAAAGAAGCATTTTGCACCCAGCACTACTTTTTGTGCCATCACAATTTTGCGGCAAGTGACGAAGTCGAGTACAAACTAGTAATACCTAAACTCCGTGTAAAACATATTCCATCCAGCCATGGGAATTTATAGGGATGCCTTTGTAAAATGTACGTCATGTTTAAGTGCCATAAATAAAACCATAGTATTACGCTTGATGAGAATGATCTAGGAGGGTATTCCAGCTAACCTGTTGGTATTTGGTGTCCCAGTGAAATAAAATGTCAATGTAGACAATTTGAACAGGAACTACCGTTATCCTGTATGAAACATTATTTTGAGTAGGTGCAATTGGTTTTCTTACATAAATGTTGTGCACTGCCTACTGCCTTTCATTTTCAGAAACTTTTCTCATTACTATGATTTTTTTTAAAGTCGCTGATATCTCATTCTTCAGTAAGATGGAATACCGTCCAGTTATAGGAATTGGTTTCGGAAAATTGGTATCCATAATTAGTTTACTGTACTCGAGTACAGAAAAGGGTAATATTTATTCATTAGGGAATGTAATTGGAAGTCATCAATGCATATTAGTTTAAGGGTTTAGTAACGCCATTTGTATAAATGTATTAACAATATAAGGTGATGCTTTAAACCTTTGTTTTATTTTTCTTGTCCATTGTCCCGGCAACATGAAGTGGAATAGACTAACACAAACTCTATTTTAGCTAAAAAGACAGTAGCCAGGTAGTTGAGCTGAGTTAGAGACGGGTGCCATAATGCTGCATAAAACCTGCAACACTGCAAAATGGAAATTTCTGATGTTGTGCCATGAGGGACGTATTTTCCCAAGAGTCAAGAGGACCATGGCTCGAAACGGCACGCCGTGAGTAGCGACGTAAAGTTCTCTAGGTACTGTACATCTTGCTGGATCCAGAATACGGGACAGCATAACACGTAAAAGAGTTCCAGCAAGACGGATAGAGCGTAGAAGTCGTACAGAAGTTATACAGAACTTCAAGTGAATTTAGGCAGGAAGAAGAAGAAGGCAGATGGAGTAGGATAAGAGATGGCTAGGAATCTTACCTAACTAGCTACCTACTGTTAAAATGTGCGACGGCGATATGCCATTTTAAATTTGAGTACCGATTGTATAATCCTTCTGCAGTGGATCGTCGCGCAACGCAGTATTGTAGTCGAAATTACAAGCAATCATGGACGTAGGTACTATGCTATAGTGAGTTCGCTGTGGCTATCCATCATATATAAGTAACTGCGGGTTACTTTGACCCAAAATGTTCACTTTTTTTTCAAATAAAATTGTAGCTTCTCTTTGTGATGAATATGTCACGTTTATATCTTTCCATTGTGAACTTTAAAGTATAAGTTATAAAGTTATCATACGAAAATAGGAAAAAATAATATTTAAGGGTTAATATATATTTTTTTTATTTTGGACCAAAGTTGGCCTTGAAGAGGATTACTTTAGCTCGTAGAGTTTTCTCTGTGAAAAAAACTCATTTTAAGCCATGTTGGGCTTATGTAACCCTTATAACAGATCACCATTAGCATACTGAATACACAAATGAATGTTTTTGCCCAAAAATAATTAAGTTAAATAAAAAATATAACTTTAAATTTAGAAAAAATAGTAAACTTACCGAAAACCACAGTTTTGAGAAAGTTTGCGCATGAACTTGCGAACTATTTCAGTTACAAAAAATCCCGCGTTACATTGACAACTTGATACAGGAACGATGTCGGTAAAACAACACCACACTACGCGCCTATATGGCTATATTTTCAACTGGAACTATTACGGTCACCCAAGAGATACTGATGGGGCGGCAAGTTCAATATTTTTTCTGATTTGGGACAAAGTTACCCGCCCGAGCTAAAGTAACCCTCACTTACGGTATGTATATATTTATAGCATAGTACCTATAGCATATAAAATGGTATAGAAAAATAAATAGCTCAATATTGGCCAAGACTGTCAAGACAGAGAGAGAGAGTGCGTCTAAAACAGAGCGTAGGATTTCCAGTGTTCTATTTTTATAGTTATCTTTGCCAGAACTCGTATGTTTGTATGATTTTTATATGATCACGGAGTACAAACCTAAATGCTTCACTTTGCACATAATTTTGATTTAAATAGGTTTAGGTATTTAAAGGCTTGTAGGCAACACACTGGCAGACTAATCAACAGGAATACTTCATGGCCTACTTACTTACAGCCATTCTCAACATCTAACTACAATCAATAAATATTTAGATAATATCCTTAAATAACAGATAAAGTAACCACAGTTATTAATAAGTTTAATTTTTCCATTAGGTAATTGCCAAAATATCTACGCTACTGCTACCATACCCTACGAGTACCCTCTAAGCTGCTTAGTGCGAAACCGCGGGGTCCCTGTTTAAGGATTCTTCCGCGTCTCCGCACCTAGCAGCCTCCCGGCCTAGGCGGGGGCTCCACGGCAGGGGTCTAACTAGGTATTGCGCCGCAGACGTGCGCAGGATGGCCCGCGCGTGGGGGCTGAGTACGCGGCCTAGTGCCCACCGTACCGCCCCCCGTCCGCTGTGGAGGACTACTTGGGCGTGCCCGTGTAGCTCCCTCCGCCGCCTCACTCTTTGCAGGACAGAACTACAAGAGGGGGGCTGCCGTCACGGGATTCCTCGGTTTCCGGCATGGTACAATGCGCCGTACCGGCCAGCTAGGGATCCCCGCGGGCAACGCTACTGCTACCATGTTCTAGTTATCACAGATATTGGGGATAGCTGTAACTGTACCTTGAATACATAGGTATTCAGCATACCTATTTGCTAACTGCTTTTGACAGATGAAAGTCATAATCACCAAGCTATTTAGAACAGTCGACTGCTTTATTAAAACGCCAATAAGATGGTTGTTCTGAAAAGCATCGATGGATATGCAATTTTTCTTTTTAGAATATTATTACTGTAATTGTCAAAAAAGTGAGCGAATAGGACGGCAGGGCCCTGCTTCTATCACAGAGATTATAGTATGATATCATTATCTCTGTACTGGAAGCAGCTGGAATTTTTAGAGTTACGAGCCTGCGTTGCGTTAAGTGTCTCACCGAAAGACGCGGCCTGCGGCCACGACCTGTCCTTATTGGTTGCAAATGATTAATTATAATTCTAATCACAATTTATTTACCTGAATTAGAATAGGGCATAGGGTATACTGGAGATCGTACAAATACAAAGTTCGGCCCATTCTGCCCTTTACAATAGCATGCAAAAGAATGGTCGCTTATGTTCGACCACTCGCTTACATTGCAAGCGAATGTGACTGGCCCCCTCCCCGGCTGTGACTGCAGGTCGCTTGTCTGTGAGACACTTTAAGCGGGAGCACGGAGCGGGCGTCCGTTCCGCGTGTTTGTGTCATGTTATTTCATAGAGCAGCGCTGTGTGAGGCGGGTCATCTCATGAAATGAAATTACATAAAAACTGCATGCGAAGCGGACGCCCGCTCCATGCTATAAGTCGCGGCACCGAACTCCAGCGCTAATCATTATTGCGCAGAAGTAAAAATTAAGACGTCTTGGGGGAAATGAGGTGCGCGGGTGGGCGTGCGTTGCGCCGATTGGCTCTCCAGTAGTACCCATGCGCAGCTATCCTCTCCTCGTTTTGTTTAGCGCTAGAATTACATGCCGCGACCTGTACCGCTTAACGCAACGCAGGCCGTAAGATCTAGGTACCTATAGATACAATATTTGGTCCTTCAACCTTTATTTATCATTTAGTGTTGATGGTATGGCCACATTCCACTTTGTTATGATTACGGATACAAGTACATAAGTATTAGTAGAGGCCTATCAAAATGTATTTGTGTCCTTTCATTGATATATCAAATATAAATGGACACTAACTGACAATCCCTATTTATAAAGCATCAGATTGAGGTACAAAATACAATAGACCCGCGGTAATTAATCCATCAAACGTTTTGCAGGGCGGATTGTCGGATTATAGAATACTTACTAACTTAGGCCACCGTCTATGGACTGGAATTTTCTGAACAAGTACCTCTAATCTATCTGTATTAATGTTTATATATAATTAACAGTCATATCATGTCTGATTACCGGGGGTCTACTGTATTATATTACATTTAAATTCTGAAAGATGAGAAATAAGATTTATTTGTAAGAAATAATGAATTTAAAGCTACAAATATTTGAGATTTATAAACAATTAATTAGCACCTTGGATAATGTAAATTTAACAAACGGATCAATGAACTTTCAAAATAATTTGAGTAAATCTTTTATTTTAAAACTACATAATTAAGCGCAAGCCAACATAAATGAGATTTCAAATTGAAAAAAAATTATGATTTTATTTATTTTTTAAGCATTTAACTGCTAGATGTTTAAATCTAAAGAAAAGTTTACTAGAAAAAAATCCACGCGGACCAAGCAGCGGAGCGGACTCCCATCCGCTGCCTGGTCCGGGTGGATTTTTTTTCTAGTAAACTTTTTTTTTGAAAAAAATTTTTGATTTGATTTAATAAATGAATGAAGTGAAAAACAAGGAATGTAAAAAAGTTATAAATAACAAAACCCACATTGAGAAATAGACAAAGGTAAAAATAAGTTGTTATTTGGTTTTGTAAATACTATGAATTTAACAAATGCATTCAGAGGCCTCAATTATATTTGTTGTCAATGATAATATCTTATTTCATTGCTGTCGCAAATAGTCATACATAAACCTCACTAAGTCAGCCGTAAGGGCATTAAAATACAACTGTAATTTATTGTATTATAATCCTTTCAAATCTGTTACAATTTGAAGTAGAATATTTGTATATATTTAGAAAAGAGAATATTTATTTAATAAATTGTAGGTGAAGGTTAAAAAATTCTTTAAAGAAAAGTCAAATATATTTATTAACAGCCTTCAGATATAAAGCTAACAGAAGCCCAAGCACCATCTTTAACAGCTCCATATTCATACGTACGAACAAACTGGGTCCTTCCATAAAAAAATTGACAGACTATATTACAATTACCACAGAACACATAAAGAGGTTAAAAGTGTGATTATAAACCGTTCGTACTGGAACAGATGTCGCCGGCTCGGCCCACTACTTACACTTAATAGGTAATAGCCAATCAAACAACGCAACATCAATCAATCAAACCGATCAGCACTCACACCCGTGAGAAACGATGCAATCAGAACCAAACTTTGAGTTATGAGCATTTGCTCACACATAACTGTGGCGCACCTGCCCCGCCCACAAAGCCCTTTTAACCTCTTTCAATGTTTTGTGATTATTACAGATCTGTCAAAGTTCATACTTGGGCCTCTGTTCAGTGAAATAGCATTCATAGCTCACAATCTAAAGTGAAAGTATGTAGGTAGATAAATCAAATTAAAAATAAACAACTATTTCGATAAAAACTCACACAGGACTAAAGGCATACCACAGTGTATTTAATATACTGCCTTTTAAATTCATTGTGACATAAAATGTTGGTATCTCAGTAATTTTAGCACCTAGTAAATACATGCATTTAAAATTATTTCCACACAACTAACATCACAAATATTGAAAATTATAAGCAGATCTAGGTAAAATATAAAATTTTATTAAATCAAATAAGTAACAAGTGAGGAATTACCTACTATCAATATTATTATCTACTAAGAACAGGTTATAGTACTGTGTTCCATTGAATCTGCTACAGCTGGTTCTGTCTCGGTCTGACTTTTAATAGAATTTAACCAATCATCGGTAGGATTGATTTTCTTTTGTTCAGGATCTGAACTATCGCTTTTCTCATCCTCTGTCACGTTATTGGAAGAAGTGATTTCTTTTTCTTTGGAGTGAATACTATCCTCACAGGTTTTTGTGGGAGATGCAGTGAAATCTAAGTCACGAAATTTCTTAGATATGTCTTCAGTTTTTATATCAACATTACAAACACAATTTTCTGTTCTTGTAATCTCTTTCATGGCAGCCTCTTCAATTGCTTCAAGAGCTTTATTATCGTCATTTTTCGTCAGGTCGTCAATGGTCTTGTACGAGTACATGTGATCGTCATTAGGGCTAATGTAATCCTCTATTAAAAAAGTATTACTATCAAAATTAAGTTTCTCAAAATCTATAACACCATAATTACTTACGTTTTCTAATAGAATGGACTCGTTATCATAACGAATTTGTATATTCTGAACACAATTCTTCAACAAGTCTTTGTCGTCTTGGCATTGTTTACGTAGTGCATCCAGCTGCCGTAAAGTTTTTAATTCTCTGGCTTTTAGGCTTGCGTATACTCGAGCGAATGACTGTCTGACGGTTGATTTTATCTGTGAATTAAAAACAAACAATTGTAATATGAATTTAGTAAGAATAATCAACTTTTCATTGATGAATACTAACATTTTCGATATTTTGGAATAACTCATCTGTATCACTCGCCATATTTACATTTTCACTGACAGTGACAACAATGACATAAAGTATAGACTGTCGGTGACAGATGACAGCATACCAATGTGACCAGATTAAAAGGACTGATACTGCTATTTTAAAGACAAAACTGCTAAATCTTCTAAGCTTTGAAAAAGAAGTTAATATCAACTGTATCAGACTTCTAGCCTTAGTAGTAAGCAGTATTTGTTCCATGATGCTTACATATAAGTTTATAATACTAACATCTTTTTCTGGTGGAAAGTGATAAATTTAATTAAGTACCCATAAAGAAATTATTTTTAAGCAACAATTGATCCATTCTATCTTATAATGTGATATAATACATAGATGTAAATTCTATATAAATTACTATTTTTTCCACTAGGAATGAAAAACTATACGACAGATTCTTACTTGAGTATTGACATTTAACATTTTATCTAATTGAAAGCAGTTTAAGCTCATATTTATCGTATATATGTATGCTATACCATAGGCGGCGAGCGACTCCTTTAAAGCTGTTTACGAAAGAAGTTTGTAGTGATTGATTTCATTTCGTTTTCTTTTTTCCCCTGTATTATTATTTAGATGTAAATTCTATATAAATTACTATTTTTTCCACTAGGAATGAAAAACTATACGACAGATTCTTACTTGAGTATTGACATTTAACATTTTATCTAATTGAAAGCAGTTTAAGCTCATATTTATCGTATATATGTATGCTATACCATAGGCGGCGAGCGACTCCTTTAAAGCTGTTTACGAAAGAAGTTTGTAGTGATTGATTTCATTTCGTTTTCTTTTTTCCCCTGTATTATTATTTTAAACAGTCGTCAAGTTGAAAAACCAGCCAAGTGTGAGTCGAAATCGTAGGCGAAAGGTTCCGTACCGTTATGCTTGACAGTTCTGATAGATTTTTCTGTAATCGCCAAGCTAAGAGCTACATTCTATACTTATTTCAAATTTTTTTTCGCAGTAGTTTCTGGGATTATCTGGGTAAACAGGTCAATTTTTCATAGGTTTTCCAAAATATTTTTTAACCTATTCATTTAATATTTGTCGAAAAATTATATTTGAAACCTTCAAATAGAGCCTTTTTATTTGATGACATGACACGGTACAGTTAGCTAAAATTTTATTTACACCCCGAAATTCATCTTAATTTTTTCCTTCGTGTTTGGGTCATACACAATTTCAACTTGATTTGGGCCTGTAGATTCCGAGCAAATTGACAGATAGACAACCTAGTGATCCTAAAAGGGTTTCGGTTTTGCCGATTGAGGTCCGGTCGGAACCCTAAATGACTTTAATATGAGATAATTCATGAAATCACCTTCATTACATAATGCGGATTATACTATAATTGTTCACCTGCATTTTGATTGCTGTGTAAATACATATAATTATAAATACATATAGTGTTATTTTTATAACGTGTAACTAGATAGCAAAAGCATGACTTCCTTTATTTTTGCGTGTGGGAAATGCCTGACGCATACCTGCTCATTGGAGAAGGTGAGCAGGTTATGATGGACTCTACCCTGCCCATCGACTAGGCAAAAATGTATTCCCCTAGTAAAACCCACACGATGTTCCATACATCATCGGTAAAAGGCGTCACCATGGGTCCGGTAAGCACCATAGTTAGCTAATCCCGATTGCTGAATTGTCAAGCCCACCTCCAGAAGGGAAGGCTGTGGTCTAATATAATAATAATCCATTTAAGGCGATGCATCGAAACACACAGCACATCGATCTACTCAGGGGACCTTACTTAGTTATGGGCACCGGGCGTTCCCCATTCCCGGAACCCTAGGTCCCTATTGCGAGGTTAGATCACGGACAGTTCCACGTCGTCTACCCTGCCTCCTCCGGATCGGCTGGGAGAGAGGACCCGCAAGCGCTCCTCAGTCTCACTCTGCAGCACAACCTTCTTACAAAAGGACTCCAAAGCCATCCATGACCTTTCACTCTAACATTACAGCCATTACGGCTGACAAAGAGAGGTCGGTTTCCACGACTGCAGTAAGTGCGGACTGCAGTTCTGAGTAAGCTGGGCATTCCTACAGCACGTGATGCACCGTATCCATTGGGAAGCCGCACTGGCATTCAGGTGTCGGTTCTCTACCTGCCACCTTTCACAAGTAGCTCCCCAAATAGACATGCCCCGAGAGGACCTTCATGAGTTGGAAGACGAGCGTTCCATTTCGGCGTTCTACCTATTCTTTTAATATTGGTACTATGCCTTCTAGGGTTCGGTGCCGCGAACCATCGTCTGCATTGTTTAACTCTTGTTGGAGACGGTCGCTCCAGATGCTAAGAGCATCTTCCGCATATTCACGTTGCCAGCGGACTACTACTTCCGGTGTTGGTTGCTGGTGTTGGGTGCGCGACTGCGCTGACCGCTATAACACGCTGGTCTCTCTTAAGTAAAGCTGTATGTCGATCAGTTATAGACCCTCCCCAAATTGGAGCTCCTTAAAAGCCATTGAGCGCACTGCATTCATATAAATGCTGCGACAGATTTCGCCACGGCCTTCTAAGTTCAGTAGTGATGAGCACAAAGTCACCGCTATACCGATCAATGTCGGAATAAGTCCCCGAATATGTTCCAATAAATTCCACTTGGAGTCAAGCACAATGACCAGGTCTTTTAGCGTTGGCTTGAAAGGAATAATAACTCCTACCATAATTTGAGCATTGACTGGTGGGGCTCTACGTAGGCCATAGAAACAGATAGCCTAGGACTTGTGTAATGCAACTTGTACACCTAATCTCCTTATTATAGCTACTACTATTGCAATTCAAGCCGTAGCCAGCAGTGACGCAGAACGATAATCCGGGCCTTGTGCCGTTACTAGCGTATTGTCAGCGTAGCACACTACATCGACACCACCAAGATTCGCCTCACGCTAGACCCAGTCGTACCCGATGTCCCACAGGAGTAGTCCCACTGTGGCGCACCGCACGACATGAGCCTGGCTTCAGGTCTATCACTACCTTCGTAGGTTATTTGCTGTCTGACAAATAATCTCTAATAACCAGTTGAGATACTGCGAGATGCGATGGGATGTACTCCAGAGTAAGGTATTAAATGCATTGCATGCGATGTCCAATGACACCGCCAACAATACCCCTCTGTTGGTGCCTCTCCCTCACCACCTCACCAATGTCCCTCACCCGAGCTATGGCGTCTATTATTGTTCGGCCCCTACGGAATCCATGCTGGCCATCTGCAAGGTCTGGTCCGATATCCTCTAGATGTTTGATGAGTCATGCTGCTATCACGCGATCCAAGAGTTTCCCTACCTTATCTAGAAGAACCATGGGTCGATAGCCCGACTGTTCCTCTGCTGGGCGTCCTTGCTTTCTAATTAGTACAACTCGACCTACTTTGAAATATATAATTGACAAAACTATGATTTATAATATAATTTCAAATCTCAAAGCTGTAGCATTTTTCTCCCATCTTTTCTTAACAATAAAATGTTTGTATTCAATTATTGCATTTTGTTTCTGAATTTTTCATAGCTTCTAGATAGCATGATAACTATCTTAAAGTTATACTGTTTTTGCGCAATATAATTCAGGTGGCAACACTAGATTAAAAAAATAATGAAATTATTGATTTTGCTTTTGACAAGATAAAAAAACATCGTCTTCGCAGATAGAACCTACGTTTCGTAAATGGAATAAAACCAGAATTATAATAATTTACTTGATTATTGTGCCCTTTTTGTGCTTTTTAAAATGAGTGAACTTAGACAGCGTCGCGGTGATGGTGAAGGAAACGAAAAAGTTGAAACGGCAGGAGAATCTGATCATGTATTTGGTTTTTAACTTTTTCATGTTTCAAACAAGTCCTAAAATATTTCGTGTTGTGTTTATTGATATTTGTTTATTAGGTGGATTCAGAGGAAGAAAAGGTGTTAGAAGAAAAGGATGTGGATGAAATGGCGAAGAATTTGCCTCAAGGCACGGACAAGACGCCCGAAATATTGGATTCAGCTCTTTCTGGTCTATCCTCAAGGTATGAAGCTTCTTCTTCTGAGCTCGCTCACAATAACATTGTTTCATGACATAAACATTGCAAGTTCATTCTTTCTCCGCATTAATTTGTTTAGACAATGCTTTAAATTCATTAATAAACAATAATAAACTATCTAAATTTTGTGCTAAAAAGAAAGAAAAAGTAGAGATCTTTTTTATTTTAATGTAATTTTAATTGAAGTGACACTGAAATCTTGCAACATTCAGATGTTCTAAGATTCCAAAAATAGGAGAATAAAATGCCATGGTTGAATTTGTTAAAACCTGTTCTTATGAAGGCCAGATATCATGGAACAGAATGTTGTTTTGATAGTTTCATACCTGTTATGTGTAGTTGCTTTAGGAACAAAAATAGTTTTTCATAATAATGTATACAATGTTTAAAGGCTTGAATTATAAAAATAATAATAATTCTTTGCATCATAAATATTTTTATAATTGTGAGGTACATTTGGTTGCTATCCAATCATCGCTAAAAGGAGCTCAAGTTGTTGGCACACTAGCTACCTTACTAAGTTGACAAGACAACTTGTATTAAGGGAGCTAGGCTTAACCCATGTGTTGGCTGAGGTTACCTTATTTATCATCACAGGTGGCGAAATTGGGTGATCAGAGGAATCTTCACGTGGCTGATGATTGGAGCTTTTTGTCTTCTCATCTACGGGGGTCCTTTAGCCTTAATGATAACGGTAAACAGTATGAGATTTTTTAAAAACCGTTTAAAGTCATACTGGTCTTCCACACCCTTATATTATGTTTCAATTCTATACATAAAGACCACATTATTTCTAGTCTATTCTAGAACTCGGATTGTTTCAATAAATATTTGTTTACAAAAATTTAGTCAATTAGTTGAGTCTACTGAGTTGATTAATTAAGCCTTTAGAAAAGTAAAAATTTATTAAACTGTGTTGTTTACAGTTAATAGTTTGAACTATTAATTGGTTTAGTTATTTTTTATTTTCTCAGCAATTAATATTTCTTATGATAGCAATTATTTATTGCAATACTTTCAATGAGTCAATGTCACCCATTTGAATGTCAAACACACATTTTATTGTTTTTCAGTGAATACATTATAATGTAGATATTGATTAGTTGAAGTACAGTTGGTACATATATTATTTGATGTTTGATAACTAACATATGCTTAATGATACAGAGATGGGTTGATTTGAATGCCACACTATACTATTTACTTAAGCTTTTTTTTTAACACTCAATTTAAGGGTAATAGCCAACGATATTAAATACCCTAGATACACCACGAGCGCTCAAAATGTGTCCCAATCAAGAAGTGTTTGAACTCCACTCAAGCACTCCTTGGTTCACAGTCACGCGCGGACCGTTACAAAGGCAAGATGCTACAGAGCTCCGCGAAAAATGCGAAATAGTACTTAGAGTACGAAAAGAGTCGTTTTTACGACAGGTATCTAGTCAATGTTTGTTAATTTAACGCATTTGAAACTAAAATATTTGTGATATTCAAATGCGTGGTCGGTTATACGTCGCCATATAGCCGTCTCTTTTCCTCGCGGTCCGTGCCTGCTATATTGCTAACAGCGCGTTCAGAATTGCGCGTGGAGTCAAAGAACTAAGGTCTAAAATCTTCCGCATATAGCAATAAGTCATAAAATTTTACGAGCTTGTATTTCGAACTGTCAGAAGTCCTTGACGCATGCGTTTTATTTAAGACCTTATACAGTATTTATTAAAGGTTAATTTCAATATTTAAATAATGCCTTATATTGATTTGACTACGCGATCATCTGACGGATCTCCGTGGATCGTTCAATGTACCTTTTGGACAGGTTTTGGGCACGATTTTGTTCGTGTTGGTGTATCTAGGGTATTTAATATCGTTGGCAATAGCACTTAGCATTTTATACTTTTTTTATCATGATTGTTTAATTATGATTTTTTATGTCAAAGATTACATTAAAATTAACACAGTTTCCTTGTCTTACTATAAATGGTATTAACAATAAAATATCCTTCACAGGTCTTATGCGTCCAAGTGAAATGCTTCGAGGAAATCATAAACATTGGCTATGCTGTCTACCGAGTTCACGGTTTGCCGTGGTTCCGATCCCTCTCCTGGTACTTCCTGTTGACTTCCAACTACTTCTTCTATGGAGAAAACTTAATCGACTACTTTGGAGTTGTAATCAATAGAACGGTGAGTTGATACAACCATTTGTATGTACTTGTATGTACTGCAGCTATGAAAGTTGGGTGGATGAGCTCAATGAAGGACGCAAGAGCTACCGCGTTTAGTTAGCGACCCAAAGGTTAGCCTTCTTAAAAAAAAGTCGATCATCTTGTATTTTTTACCATACTCATTAGTAGCTCCACTGGTCTTAAGTCCTACTGCATCTGTGGTTATTAGCACTTCGCACAAATCTGTTCCTATCTATATGTTTGACATCCATAGAAAAAGCCTGATGACACAGCAGTAGTTATATCAATAGGCTGATATTGATGATGACAGCTGTTGAGTGTTTTCTAATCTAGAATCCCTCTAATAAACCGACTCAATTACTTAAACCTATATCATTTCAAAACGGAAATATGTGGTTTGTAACAATAACAATGAACCTTGTGAACAAAATATATAGGTGAGTAAATAAGAAGTGACATTACACTCTGCTAGTATTACCGCAATAAGGTTTCAAATGGCTAATTTGTATTTAGCTGTCGCTGCATTGGGTAACACCAGTGGCGTAAATACGCAGCCATATTAATTACACGCCAGTTTCATGCTACTGATTTTACCTTACAGAGTAATAATATAACTATGTCCACGCAAGTAGGTTTAGCAGCTTTATGGTGTGTTTACTTTGATTTGATACCTCATTTGAGTATGTTTAAGTTTGTTTGAACTTGCTATGTGAAAGGATGTTACTTAAGGATAAACCTGACACTTTTCCGAGATATCAAGTGTCTTATGTCTTATTCCAGACCATTAGTTGTCTATGTGTAAAATTTCATCCATATCCGTTCAGCCGTTTTTGCGTGATTTTGTTACAAACATACAAATTTTCACATTTATAATATTAGTAGCATGTATCGTGAATAAGAACCTTGTTTCCGGTTAGTAACATTAAAGTTATTATTTGTTACTAGAGGTCACCCGCGACTTCGTCTGCGTTGACTTAGTTTCTTGAAAATCCCTCTGGAACCTAACATTTTTCGAGATAAAAGTAGCCTATGTGTGAATCTAGGGTGACAGCTAACTCCATACCAAATTTTATTAAAATCGCTCCACTCGTTTAGACGTGAAGAAGTAACAAACATACACACTCACATACTCACACACTTACAAACTTTCGCCTTTATAATATTAGTGTGATTACAATAATCAGGGTACATGGTAGCACTCCCGCTAATAATAATAATTAAATACTATAACTTTTAATAAATAATATATATATACCTATATACCGTAAGTGAGGGTTACTTTAGCTCGGGCGGGTAACTTTGTCCCAAATCAGAAAAAATATTGAACTTGCCGCCCCATCAGTATCTCTTGGGTGACCGTAATAGTTCCAGTTGAAAATCACAGATAGCCATATAGGCGCGTAGTATGGTGTTGTTTTACCGACATCGTTCCTGTATCAAGTTGTCATTGTAACGCGGCATTTTTTGTAACTGAAATAGTTCGCAAGTTCATGCGCAAACTTTCTCAAAACTGTGGATTTCGGTAAGTTTACTATTTTTTTCTAAATTTAAAGTTATATTTTTTATTTAACTTAATTATTTTTGGACAAAAACATCCATTTGTGTATGCTAATGGTGATCTGTTATAAGGGTTACTTAACCCCAACATGGCTTAAAATGAGTTTTTTTCACAAAGAAAACACAACGAGCTAAAGTCTTTAAGGCCAACTTTGGCCCAAAATTAAAAAAATATATATTAACCCTTAAATATTATTTTTTCCTATTTTCGTATGATAACTTTGTAACTTATACTTTAAACTTCACAATGAGAAGATATAAACGTGACATATTCATCACAAAGAGAAGCTACAATTTTATTTGAAACTAGCGGTCCGCCCTCGCTTCGCTTCGGTGTAGAGCTGAAGTGTAGACTACAGTTTTTGTTCTCAGGCTTGTATTATACACAATGATATTCATCTATGATTCTTCTTATACCTGCATGCAGTCTCAGCCCGATCGGTTTAAAATTGACAAAGTTTCATACAAACTTTCATTCCCTATTTTATCCCCTTGGGGCTAGAATTGATCAAAATCCTTTCTTAGCGGATGCCTACGTCATAACATCTACCTGCATGTCAAATTTCAGCCCGATCCGTCCAGTGGTTTGGGCTGTGCGTTGATAGATCACTATGTCAGTCAGTCACCTTTGACTTTATTACCTGTATTTATAATAAAACTAAAATTCTCATATTTCCGTTTTCCAGTACTCATTTTCTACACGTTTTATATGATTTATTTGCTAATTATGTTAAATGTTTGGTTTTTATTCTAAGATAAGCACGGTTTCTTAATATCAATTATTGTCTGTCAATAAGGTCGAACGCTCTGAACGCATCAACAGCCAAATATTGAATGAAGCTCGCTTTCTTTTTTTTTTGTTTCCTCTCAGTCGGGCGAGCGGGTGTGAAATCCTCATGGATACCCTACAGCCGGCTGTAGGTATATGTCAGACTGTTACTGACTAAAACACCCGTGGGGGATGCCTATGGCCTTAGAGGCCATACAGGCTTCATCTGATGCGATCAACCCCTGAGAAGGGGATGATGCAGCGCTACCTTAGTAAATATTACTGCATAGTGCGCTTAGAGGACGGATGCACTCTGATGTGCATCCGTATCGGTTTAGGACAGAGCGACTGAAGGTCTCTCAGGATCGGGGGGGCGGGGAAGCTCGCTTTCGGACCTCCCGCCTTTTTATACCCTACCGCCGCCGCGACCCGTGTCAAGCGCGGCAACCGTTACACAAAAATAATCCTTATAGCATGATTCAGTATTCACGTGCGACGGCGCAATGGTTTATTTCATGTATAAGTTTGGTGTTTCTATACTGATTTCTATGATTCTCTTTTTATTGAATAGGTAATAATGTTAACTTTTTTAAATTAGGGATGAGTGAGAGTATTATAAACGTAAGAGTAAACAAATATAATCAGAATGCTCCGAACTGCTAAGCTGCTGCTAAGCTATGAGGAGTTACACGTGTTATTGTGAGTCAACCATAAAAGATAGACATATGCTGTTGCGAGATATTTTTTAGACAATTTTATATAGAATATTTCCGTCATACATGATTTCTATGTAACTTTAACCATTAAGGCGGCACACGCGACGGAAGATTAAAAAATGGAGTAACTTCTCCCGTTTTCCCAACATTTCCCTTCACTAATCTGCTCCTATTGATTGTAGCGTGATGAAAAGTATACTATAACCTGCCCAGGAGTATGAAGAATAATTGTACCAAGTTTCGTTAAAATCCGTCGAGTAGTTTTTGTTTCTATAAGGAACATACACACAGACAGACAGACAGACAAAAATTTTACTGATTGCATTTTTGGCATCAGTATCGATCACTTATCACCCCCTGATAGTTATTTTGAAAATATATTTCATGTACAGAATTGACCTCTCTACAGATTTATTATAAGTATAGAAGATAAAGTGCACATTTTAGGTCAAAGTAACCCGCAGTTACTCGGTATATATATATACTCGGTATATGTATTATAATTTCACACTACAACTGCTGAGGAGCTCGAAAGCACAGTGGTTATTGGTTAGTGTTCGGTACCCCAAGCACGAACAAATGGTTGGTTATGAGCACAGTGCCTGAAATGCAAGATGCCACTGCTGCAATAATGCCTAATGGCGCATCTATAAATCTATACCTTTAAAATATCATAGCGTGAAGAGGTATCAAACAAACATACACACTTTCGCAATTTTTATTTTATTATGGATATAGGCAGGCACATACTATGAAGTATGAACAGTATTCAGGGCCGGATAAAGTGATGTGGAGGTGTTTGATGATCTCTGTTGGGGGCACAGAACACATTTCATTGCAATGTTTGAGCAAACGCTCATAACTTGACCAAAACTTGGTTCTGATTGCACCGTTGCTCTCTAGTGTGAGCTCTGATTGGTTCGCTTGTTTATTGTCGCGTCGTTTGATTGGCTATTATCTATTACGTTCAAGTGTAGTGGGGGCGAGCCGGCGACATCGGTTTCCGTACAAACGGTATAATGATCACTTCTTCTTTCTTCTAGCCCCATTCTGTGCTCTGTGGTTGTGGGCCCCACACAACCCTGCCAGCTTTGTCTTAAATCCGACCCTGATAGTATTACAAGAGTTAATCAGCACTTTAATGGTCAGATCCGCAATCAATCAAAGTAGGTCAAATTCGCAAGTGTCAATTTTCGCTTTAATTTTATAATACCCACCACGTAAGCTGATTTGTGAGTTTTTTCTTTACTTCCGCTCTTGTTGTTGAATAAATACATAGCTATTTTATTTTCAATGTCAAGTCATGTGAAATTTGCATTTTGTACGTCCTGACCTGAGTCCAAGCTCGCAAATAAGTAGTGCAGTGAACATTGTACAATACAATGAATATTGTAATATCCGTTGCGACTCGGATTGTAATGAACCACCAAATTGCTAATTTCCCGCGCTTTTATCTAATATATAAAATTCTCGTATCGCGGTGTTTGTGGTTAAACTCCTCCGAAACGGCTTGACCGATTTTCGTGAAATTTTATATGCATATTCAGCAGGTCTGAGAATCGGATGTAATCTATTTTTCATCCCCCTAAATGTTAAGGGTACCCCCCCCCCCCATTTTTTTTTTAATTATAGATATTTTAAAAAAAAAAAAAATATGATACATCATACAAAAATACATACAACCCTAAATTTTCACCCTTCTACCACCAACCCCTATTTTTTATGGCGGTACGAAGTTCGCTGGGACAGCTAGTTATAATATGAAATTCTTCCTTAATCTGACCGAATCTTACATGTATTTAATGATAATGGTGTAATGATGATGATAAAGTTTATCTGATTCAATTCGGCACCTGTTTTCCGATTCAGCATGACGAAATTTTTACACTTTAGCATTCCTCGAATTGTTTCTAAATATTGTTTACATAATATCCAATGCAAAGTAAGGAATAATAA